GTCAGAGCCTGGTCGCTGATCTTGTCGCAGAAGCTCACGTCCAGGGAGTTGATGCCGCTGCCCCCCTCCGTGAGGTAGGCCATGCCGATGTCCGAGATGTTGTCGCAGGAGCGCAGATTCAGCTGCTCCAGCTTGGGCATGCGCGCCAGGTGCTTCAACCCGCTGTCCGTCACGGAGACGCAGAAGCTCAGGTTGATGGACTTCAGGGAGGTGAGGCCCTGCGCGATGTGCCCCAGCGCCTCGTCGCTCAGCCGCTGACAGTCCTGCAGTCCCAGGTGCTCCAGCTGGAGATTGCCTTCGGCCGTCTCGCGACTGAACCCGGCCAGATGGCCGATGCCCTGGTCACTGATGTGCCAGCAGGAGCGCAGGTTCAGGTGGCGCAACTTCTTCAGGCCCCACGCGATCAGCAGGAGGCCGGTGTTGGTGATGTTGCAGCAGCCGCCCAGCTCCAGATTCTCCAGGTTGCGCAGGTGCTGCGCGATCCGGCCGAGACTCGTGTCCGTGATCTGTTTGCAGAGCGAGAGGTCCAGCGTCTTTAGGTTGGGCAGGTCCACGCTGAATGCGTGTCCCAGGTTCATGTCCGCCACGTTGAAGCATCCGCTGAGGTTCAGCGACGTCAGGGCCGGCACACCCAGCACCAGGTCCTTGAGCGAACGGCGCAGGGACAGGATCTGTACCTTCTTGATGCCGCGCCTCACCAGACAGTTGAAGAGGCTGGGGCTGGAGCGCTTCAGGTGCAGCTTGGCCTCCACCCCCTTCCACACGCTCTTGGCATAGGCCGCGTCACGCCAGGCGCTGCACACCTGGGCCGCACGGCCCAGATCCCTCACCGGCAGGTGCTCGAAGATCTGTTCGAGCAGCTCCGGGAAGAGGTTGCTGATGTGCGTGCCCTCCACTGGGGGCGGGCTCTCCGGCGAGGCGGGTCTGTGCTGGTGGTGGTGATGATGATGATGATGGTGCTGTGCGTGTGCCGCTGCTGCTGCAGCGGCGGCTGCAGCCGCGGCCGCGTGTTGCAGGTATAGCGCCGGCGGAAGGGTCTGCAACTGCGGGCGGTGGTGCAATGCGTAGGGCGTGAAGCGCAGCAGGTGGTGGGCGCTGCGTGTGAGGCCGGGTAGCTCAGTCTGTGGGTAGAGTTCGTCCATGCCCCAGACGGGGGCGCCATTGGCTCCACTGGGAGCGGCTCCACCCGCTGCGGCTGTGCTGCCTCCGCCGCCATGATAGCTGGTGAGGGCGGCCGCCGTCTGCAGGGAAATGGTCGTCTGATGGTGGAAGGGCAGAAGCTCTGTGTTGGTGGCCATGCTCCTCGGCGTCCTGCTGCTACCTCGTTCTCTTCCTCTAGCTCTTTCGCTGGCTGTTCTGTCTGCCGGAGACTCTTTGCTTTGTGGCTGGAGACAAGGTTCTATTGTGACGGGGTTCACTACGGCGATACGGAGCTGGAGTTGCGTCTTATGTGCGTCGCATTTTACTCGCTGCGCGACTGTTTCAAGGGGGCAATGTGGATGGTTCGAGACGAGAGACGTTCTTAGGTTGCACTGGGACTAGAACTTGAACTGGGATGTCCGCGATGGTTCTGATTAAACTGATTCTACTGATTCACTCGTGTTGCACTCTGGCTGGCGACTCTTGCACTCTGACTCTAGCACTTGGGGGGCCTTTGGCTTGGCGTGGCTTGGCTTGGCTTCGATGGTGGGTAAATCCAAATGTCGTTAGTGTTCGAGAGATCCAAGACGCGCGCAACCGAACCGGACGACGTTGAGAGTAAAACTAAGCTCGCTGTGGCCGTAGCAGCGTTGCTTATAGTAAAACGACAGAGAGAAAGATTCCCGTGTGTGTGCGTGCGCGCCGAGTATCTGTGTGAAGAGGCAGTCGAATTCAGCAATGGCTGACTGTGCCTCAAAGCAGGTAGAGCACTCTCACTCGCTCTCTCGCTCTCTCTCTGTCTCTGCCTGCAGCTGTATTTCGAGAGGCGGCGGAGGTTGGTTTCGGGATGTTTGGCTTCTTTACGGCTAGATTTTGTTGGAAATTTTGTAGAAAATTTTAAAGTTAAAAGCATTACATAAGGGATTCAATAAGATTGGTAGAAAATCCAACGAAATAGAACTTACTCCGATAAAAGCGAAAATACAATTCGTTTCGTTTCATTTAAAAACAAATATATGAGGAAGAACGTGAATAAGACAATAAATAGGAAAAGTTGGACTAAATATAACGAAAAGTCGAAGCATATGACCATATTTTATGGTCAGCACTGAAAGAGAAGAGAGAGCGTTTAAGTCTCTCCGCCTGCAGCTGTGTTAGTGCGGCTCTCTCTCTCTCTGGCTAGAGAGATAGATTCCATCATTGAGAGAGCTCTCTCGAGCTGAATGCTAGACCTGGGGCTTGGATTCATCTTGATTTTGGCCCAGGCCTGACTCTATGGTCGCGTCTGGTCCACAGATTGTGTTCAGGTTCTTCTGCAGAGCTCTCAATGCCAAACTCCGACGCATTTGTTGCTGCCGCTTGCTGTTGCATTCCAAAGTCGAGCAGGTACCTGTCTTGCCTCTTTATCTGCCTTTGCATTTGTGTGTGTGTGTGTATCTGTGTGTGCGATCGCAGCTCGCTACCTGCGAACACAACAATACAATCCCGGTTTCCAAGAAAATATTAACGATAACTCCAAAAAAATGTTGCCGCACACAGGCACGGCACAGATACAGATGCAGGCACAAGCAGTGGCTGTGACTGAGGCAGGGGCAGAGGCCGAGGCAGGCCTTCGTCGCATGGGATTTGGGATGATGCACAAAATCCAGCGGATGGAACAACAATAGCGGGAATGCATTGTTATTGATACTAGGAAAGCGATGCACACACACACACACACACAGCCACCGGCACACAAGAACATTTTCTGGGGACCTAAAAAAGGAAAACGCCGCCACCATAGTCGTCATCGTCTTCTTTGCCTTCTAAAAAAAGGGACCAAGTCTAGGACGAGGGTTCTGCTAAGGGGTGGGGTAGGGGCGTTGTGAAAATCTGTGTCGCTACCTGCACTCGCACCCGCACCCCCGCACACACAGAGAAAGAGCTCTCCCGCACCAGCATCCTGGCTGAAGAGGAATAGCACTCCTAGGCCCATGTTGATTTCTTGTGCCTCACGGAGAGACTTCCAACCTCTGGACGTACTCCGCACTCGTACAGTCATTATCCTGGCGAGGAGCAGGAGGATGCCGCAGACGGAGACAGACCCAGAAGGGCAAGGCGTGCGTACAACTTTACCAGCGCTACCTGTCTAACCGGTTTGGCCCAAAAGGGCCAATCGCCCTCTATCACTCTTTGGACGTGTCTGCCTCTCTGGCAGCGCAAATGAAAATAATCTCTTCGCTGGAACTCTGGCTCTGGCTCAATCCCTCGTTTCAGCCACACGGCCGCTGCCTCCGACTGAAATATAGTGCGGCACATATAATAATCGATTGGTGTTCGGCTGCCTCCTCTTCGTCATCTTCTCCTTTATTTTTTGCGTTGCATTTTGCGTACTATGATCATCATTAAAGCGGTCGCAGAGGCACACAGGTAGGCACACAGCAGCGGCAACTGCGGAAAAGGTGCAACACGCAGACGCAACTGCGGCAGGGCTGGGCCAAGCCTGGATGTGGGCAGATGACAATGAAGGCAGCAAGCTTTAGGCTTGGGCCAGCCCAGAAGATTCAATCTGCATAGCTACTCGTCTTGCCTACGGAAAACAGATTCAAGATACGTGTATCTAACACTTGAACATCTGCAGATGGCTAACATAAATGCTGCATATTCCTCTATTTCGACTTGGGAACTTTATTGCACCTGATTAAAGAGAACATCTTCAAATGCGGTAATATTGCTGCATCCAAAATGTGGCCAGGGATCTGTAAGATATTAAGATTGTTTATCATCTTTTCGCGGTGCTTGGCATACAGTTTGTTCTCTGATATTTCAACTAAAAGTTACCCTACCAAGTCCGAGCTTAGACTTTGCTACTTATTCAGGGCAATGGCAAAACCAAGATCAGGATTAGACAGCTCAGAAAGTACTGCCACAGCTACAGCTGCCAGCGCCAGAGACATACATCATACAGATGGAGCCAGGACCGAGGGTAGGGCATATTGTGGCACCAAGTACTGCGGGAGAAGCATACAAAAGGCACCGCCATCAAGACCAATTGATGTTATCGCCATCTCTGACCAATTTGTGGTTGGCCCGCATCTCTCTCCCGTACTGACCCCTGGCAGTGGATGTGTATGTGGATGGGTGCCCAGGCGAAAGGGTGTGAGCAAGTTGGTGGCGTTGTGAGTGAGGTCGAGCGAACGCCGATACGGCCAGCATCAACAGCGGCGTCAAGCTGTGACAGATTTGTTACAGAACATCACATAATTTGCCGGTGATGGCAATCTGATCACCCACCGCAGATATTGTTGCACAGCGACCCAAAGAAAGTGTCTCAAGTTAACCCGCAGATCATTATTGGAACGAATCTGTTTTGGGCTGTTAAACTAGTAGAATCCCCAATAACGAAAAAACTGCCTATCGCCAGGAAGAGAACCTTATCGCACACTTGACTGAGCTTCTCCAGGATATAGAGTGAGTAGACTCTCAGAATTCAGAATTCAAGGCACCTAATCTTGTCTTCCATCTCTGGGCGTGTCCTGCAGCTTAGCCTCAGTGGAAAGGAGAAGACCACAAAGAGAGATTGTCCCTTTGGGACTTGACACTTGTCCAGCTCTCGGAATGGCCTCCACTTCCACACTCTCATGACAATCAGAGTGCCAGGCAGAAACTGTAAATTGAAACCGGACTGAGAGGTTCGTGGACCCTCGAGAGTTGCCAGCTCAAGTGCAAAGTTCCGTTGCAGCTCAAGGAGTTTTCTGGCGAAGTAGACATCCGTTAAAGAACATAATTTGGGCAGACATAGATCAAAGATTCAGTACAATACCAGGAACTAAATGTCTAGTATAGTATAGTAGTTCCATCCCCATACTCGCACTCGTATATTTATATGTAAAATGTTCCTTTATTGTTGATGTAGTTTTAAATGCTATATGTAATATATCTACATATGTAGATATACTCGTATTCAAATGTTAAGTATATTTCAGTTTTCTGTGTGTGTTTTTTTTTGCATTTAGAAGAGTTTGTTTATGGCATTACGCACTAAAAATTAAATGTCGCTTTCGATTCGACTTCGTGTTTCGATTTCGTTTTTGGGTTACGTTCGTTCTTAAAATTCGTTTACGCTATGACTTTAAAATACTCTAGAATCTAAATGCTAATTATTAAAACCCAGACCCAACTGTGCTTCGTCTCTAAATATGGCTACGGAAGGGCAGTACAACTCAAAGCAAGTTGGATTCGATATAACGTGTAGGAGTATGTATATATTATGTATGTATATGTATATATATATATAATATATATGTACATGCCTCGCCGATCCGGGCTGGCTAGCAAGGAAGTGGATTTGTGTTTGGGGGTGTGGTGTGTATGCTATAGCATATTTTGATTTGATTTGATACATGCGCGGTTCTAGGTGCTATATGATCTCTATATATACGTAGCTATAAGTAATGCATATGTGTATGTGTATGTGTGTGTGTGTGTGCAATATTGTTTAAACGTTTCGTTGACTCAAGTCCAAATGGATATCCGTCATATATCCAATTCCAATCGGCTCTAAACACTTTTCCAAGAGCCCAAACAATCCCTCCCTATTCCGATCTCCATTCAGCTCACGCGTTTTGGGCTATTCGAAAAGTGTTTGGGGCCTCTCTGAGCATTTCTCTTGGCTTCGATGGATTCAATTTGATGATTTTCGTATTATCCATTTTGAATTTCTAATGTGGTACGTGTCTAAGTTCTAAATTATGCTAAATTCTCCCAAAAAAAACCTCACTCATCGTCTATCAATCTGTCTGTATGTCTGTTTGCATGTGTGCGCGGGTTTTCCAACAAACATTTCTCGTTGTTCGAACCAAAACAAAATATAAAACTAAAAACTTCAAAATCAAAACTCAAAAAGGCGTACATAATTAAAAATTAAAAGGGTTTAAAATACTATAATGGGGTTATATCACAGGTACATTTTAGACTTTTACTTTTTTCAAAATGCAAGATTGTAGAAAATGTATGTCATGGAGGGGGGATCTGCACAGCGGAACCTGGACAACGGAACGGAAAACTGGGGAGTAGCTCTGAGTTAGCCGTGTGCAGGTCCTAAACTTGGCTAAATGCTATATAAGTAGTCGTGTATTGTATTGTATATGTGTAGTTTAGTATGTATGTATGTATATATCTATAGATATATTCACTGGGTCAAGTCACCACCGTATTTGTGAAGTATATTACTTTTTTTTTCCTTTTATAGAAAAGCACTAACCATTAAACATTGCAACTGCCGTTTCACTTGTCTGCCTTCTCCACTATTCCTCATGACAAGTCAGAGGCGGAGACAAGTAGTATTCGATTGTGATCGTAGATATGAAAGAGTTTTGAATACATGTACGTACATACTATATCGTAGTCAGTATTCAGTATCGGTATTCGTATCAAGCCTATGACTAGGACCAAAAACATGCTGTACATATGTGTACATTTATCTAAGCATATGCACTCTGGCTCTAACTACATTCTTCTGAGTCCTTGCTCAGTTGTGTACTATGTGTGTTCTATGGCCTGATCTGTTTTAATTGCTCAATAATTTCTCTTGAGTACGTATTTCTTGAAGATCTGTTCACACTGAGATGGGTTCCGAACTCTATTTTGAAGGGTAGCAGCCCTCGCGCCTATCCCTATCTGAAGCAATTTCTATCGTACAGCACTCGTATCTATCTCTTAAGTACATTACGTTTTTTTTTTTTTTGATGATGGGAAAGTTTTTGGGTGCTAGGAGGGGGAGGTGATGCTGGGGGAGCATTGTGCTTGTCTATGAATGTCTAGGCTGTATGGATGTAGTAATGGAAAATTCGTAATTGCTAAAGCTGCACAATGCCCCCATGATTGTGGCTGTATATGATGAATGCGTGTGTCTGTTGTGGCAGTCGTACGTATTTGATTCCATAGTCGTAGTCGTAATCGTAATCGTATTCGATAGTAGTTGGGAAAATATGGCGCAGAAACTTTGAGTTTGTCCAAGCGGCTCGCCCCAGGCTCGAGGACTGTGGCCTAGCCGCTGACTAAGTTCGATATGAATGAAAAGTTAGACTAGATGCTATTTAATACTAATCCACCATCGGGGGAATGGCTCTGCCTCCACATACCGTCTCCCCATGACGACTCGTTGGGAAGGAAGGCGTCAACTAGTTCCGCTTTAAATGTTCTTAGCAGTCACGTGGCGGGGAGCCTGCCCCCCTGTCTCGACGTACAGACAGGAGCCCTCGCTGCAGGAGCAGGTGTCGCCCTCTCGGGAACTGTTGCAGCAGTCGCTCGTGTAGTTGCGCTCGCGCAGCTCGTAGTCCACCAGCATGTTCTCGTTCTCGCTCTCCAGGCAGGGCTGCACCAACTGGTTGTTGGCTTGACGACGGTGGCCCGAGCGCTTGCCACTGCTGTGCTCCTCCGCATGCAGCTGACGCTTGTGGCTGTGCGAGGCTCGCGAGTTGTCCGAGCACTCGGAGGAGCACTGGTAAATCTGGTGGCTGGAGGTGGTCGGTTGCATCGGATGTCCCTGTGGGTGGGGATGCACCGGCTGATACCAGCCCTCTGGGACCGGAGCCGGCGGCGGTGGCTGCATGGGTGAGGCCAGGGCATCGCAGCTGTTGCAGGATCGGTTCTGGGCGCAGCGCGAGGCATTCAGGCCCGCCTGGTACTCGCTGACGGCATGGCGCTGTGTGGGGAACTGAATATGCGTGGTGGGACCTCCGCCAGGTGCCGCGGTGGCAAAGTAGGCCGGCAGCTGGGGCGGGTGCTGGTTGGTGGGCGTGATCTGGTAGCGGTTCTGTGCGCCGCCCACAGCTGACAGGGGATTGCTGTACACGTTCTCGGGTGGGCAGCCGGGCGCGTATTGTGGAGAAACGCCCCAGGCTGAGAAGCCGCCGGAAGAGCTGCTGTGAATGGAGGCGTTCAGGATGCTGCATGAAAGGGGAGTGTCTTGGTGAGGAATGTGATTTAGTTTATGGCTGGCCATGCGGCTCTTACCTTTGGTTTGTGGAAATGCCAGAGCCTCCGCTCTTGGAGCTCTTCCGCGACGACTCCGGTGAGCCCTGGGCGTAGCCATAGGTGGAAGATGGCGGCGGGTGCTCTGGCGGTGGTGGCAAGAACTCGGACCAGTTGATGTGCTCCACTGGATACTGCAGATAGCTCGATTTTGAAACGGGAGCGACCGCGCCCTGTCCCGCGAACGCATCCGAATAGGGGGAATGTGTGCCCGAGTCCTTGTCGGCGCTCAGGGAAGTGGGTTTGGTGCAGTTCTCACCCGAAGAGGTGCCAATGATCATTGTGGTAGCATAGGGCGTGGGATTATCGGGGCTCTGGCAAAGATACAACACACAGATTAGATGGAAAGTCTTTAGTGTCTACGATGGACTCACTTTGCGGCAGTTGTAGAAGGTGGTCAGGTTGCGGGTATCCACTTCGGCGTAGTCGGTTCCTCCATCGGAGTTGTTGTAATTGGACTGGCTGCTGTTGACATGGGACAGCAGCTTCGACTCGCTTAGGCCAGAGTCCTTGTCAGTGTCTGTCGGACGCCAGTTGCGATCAATCCACAGACTTTCCTTGCTGTTGATATTAAGAGCAGTGATTTCGTTGTCGCTTACAACTGCAAATGGAGGGAAAATGTGAGTGGAGAAGCTGCAGTCAGGAGTCTATCCATTTCTTTTACCACTGAGGTGGCCCAGATCCTTGGTCATCTGATGCCTCCGCTTGAAGTAGACCATGGCTATGGCAGTGGAGATGACCACGACAAGAAGTATGATGACAACCAGGACCATTAGCCAGATGGCAGGCAGATAGTCCGAGGACGTTCTGTGCGTGGTGGGATGCGTGTCACTGTTGGGCTGAATACCACCCATTCCGTTGTGGTAGGTGAAGTCCTGACCCTCCTGATGCCGGCCATCGTGAGTGCCGCTGGGATGAGCACGCGGCGGGTGCACATGGTGCGTTGGGTCCATGAATAGCGAGATCTGAGTAAGAGCAGATATTAGAAAAAGACTGCAACTCTGAGGCTAAGGCTTTCCACTTACCGGCTTGGAGTAGGGCCCGTCGCCTGCCTTGGTAAAGCAGTTCAGTCGCACACTGTATATGGCTCCGGTGGTGAGGTTGTTCAGCAGCACCGATGTGGTGGTGGAATTGAGCGTCATGTTGGCCAGCACCTTCATGGTGTTGCCGGCGCTCACCTCGATTTTGTAGCCGTACAGATTGCCATTGTGGTGCTGGGCAGGCGGCGGCGTCCATCGTACCCATCCAGCTGTTTGGTTATACATTCCGATCTGTATATTATCAGGCGGAGCGGAGGGAACTAAGGGAAAGAGCGAATAGGTGAGTGGGAGTTCGATCGTGGACTGGTAACGACTAACCGTCTTCGTAAGTGAGGGCCATTTTCGAGTTGCTGGGCTGTCCTTCGATTGTCTCGAAGAAGGGCGTCAGGAAGAACTCGTATTTGGTGTACTTCTTCAGATTCCCGACCACAAACGACTCCACCGAGGTATCCATCACAGTGATGGAATGGTACTGCGCCGAGTGCGAATTGGTATCCCTGTAGTGAATGCGCAGACCCTGAAAATATACCGGGGAGAAGGATTAGCTGAGGGATACACCACAAGAAGAAGTGATGGCACATACCTCCACATATTTCTCTTCGGCGCTCACATGCAGCATCCAATCGAGACGTACGGCACTCGCATTGATGGGCGAGGCATCAATCAGCTCCACAGACTGCAAACGAAACCAAAAGTTAGTCGGAGTTGTGAATCCTTGAAGGCACCTCTGAAACTTACCTTTTTAGTGAGCAGAGTTCGAGCTGCCGACAAGTCATTGGCCGAGGCCGTATCGAAGTCCTCGCCAATAGTTTTGATGGCATTCGAGAGGCCCGAGGGTACAGACACCCCCTGGCTGTTTTCCGCTCTCACCAGGAAGACATACGAAGTGGCGGGCGTCAAATCCGAAATCTGCAGAGCAAAAATAAAAGTTTTAGTCACCGGAAGGAGTTTGATTTAAGGGGAAACCCCTACCGTGACTTGAGTATCGGCCACCCGATAGGCAGCCACAATCCAGCCAGTTTGCAATTCCGGACTAAAGTACTCCACAGTGTAGCTGCGAGAGAGGGAGAGAGACACTTGTATAAATCATCTGTACTGGAAAAATCTGGCGCAATCTTACCCAATAATTGGCCCGACGGCGCCAGGTTTCTCTTGGCTCTTGGCCCATCGCAGGGAGATACTACTGCGGCTGGCATTCAGCACTTTGGGTGTGCCAGGTGGAGCAGGATATGTGCTGGGATCAGCTGCCCGATGCAGTGATGTTGCGCCTGATTTCTCAACCTAGCAAAGAAAGCATTTTGTGTGTCAGGCGCAAGGGTAACTTTCAGATGGCAAGCTTAAACTTACGGTAAGCGTGGCTGACCAGGAGGTCTCGCCACGTTCCGAGGAGGCAGTGCAAGTGTAGAGACCAGTGTCGCTCAGTTGGAGATCTGAAAACATGGTAAATAGCCAATTAATCTCTGTTCAAATGGGGATTGGCGACTATCACTCACCATCGACGCGCAGAGAGCTGCCTTGGATGATGCTGTGACGATTGCCAGGCTGCACGGCATAGCCATTGTGGAACCATTTGATGCGGGGATTGGGAGTGCCAGTGGCACGGCAGGGCAGTGTGGCCACAGATCCTTTGGACAACGTCTGATTGGCGGGTCCTATTTGGATGATGGGCGGCGGACGCTCGTCTAACGAGCTGACCTGAAGGAAGATGCGCACTGTCGAGGAGTCCACCACACTGAAAGCGGAGCACACGTAGAAGCCCTCGTCATCCTGCTGGACATCACTGATCTGGAGCGTTCCTTCAGACGAGACCTGCTGCCGGCCGTGAGAACTGTTGGGGAACATCAGCGTGGACACGCCCTCTTTGGTCCAGAATACAGAAGGCGGAGGATTGCCAGAGGCCATGCAAGGAAACTCAATAACGCCATTGAGACCCACTTTCTTGTTGCTGGGCTTCCGGGTAAAGTTTGGAGGAGCTAATGGAACGAAGGAAACCAGTGATTAGAGAGATGGTTGAACCCAATGGGCAGAGGCTAGTCCTACCGTGCACGGTGAGCGAGGCTCTGGCGCTGATCTGACCCACATTGTTCTGCGCCTCGCAGATATAGGTGCCCTCATCGCTGGGCGTAATGTTGCTCAGCTCCAGACTCTTCTCGTCGTGCAGGATGCGGGCCCGGGACACGGGTATGTTGCCCTCCTCCTTCTTCCAGAGGACCTTTGGCGGCGGATCGCCGCCCACGGAGCAGTGGAAGGTGGCTGTCTGGCCGTAGAGCATCAACTGATCCTTGGGCTCCTTCATGAAGTACGGCTTAACCTGTACAATCAGCTTCGCGTAGCTGGACTCCCGGGTGCCGACCAGATTCTGGGCAATGCACTTGTAGTTGCCCTCATCGATGGGCTCCACATTGCTGATTAGCAGATTGCCACCATCGACAATCCTCACGCGAGAGCTGGCACCGAACGACATGGCTTTCAGGTCATCCAAGGGCACGCCATCCTATGTGAGCCGAGGGGGTGGGTGGGGAGCGGATTAATATATGAATTGCTGGCTGATTTAAGTGATTTAAGTCTGGGTCTTACCTTCATCCAAATGAGAGTTGGCTCTGGAATGCCTTTGGGCGGCCCACACTCGAGCAGAGCTGTCTCGCCTTTGGCCACGCGCGTGTCTTTGGGCTCCACGCGAAAATCGTCGCGCAGCACTGGCAGAAAAAAGAGCACAAGCACAAGCACAGGCATAGGCACAGGCACCAGAGATTAGTTGTGTGGGCAGACAAGTTGTCGAGAGTTGATTTGACTTACCAGCTATTTGGAGCGAGGCATGTCGACTAACGGCCTGGCCCACACGGTTCTTGGCCACACACCAGTACTCGCCGCCGTCCTGCTCCTTCTTGCCCTGCATCGTGCGGTAGAAAAACAGGGCGCCATCATTGAACTGGACGCGATGCGACTTCTTCTCATTGGTGCTGACGGGTTCGCCGTCCTAGCGGGGGAAAGAAAAAAAGGAGAAAGTTGAGAGAGAGCACTGACCAAGCCACTGACCAGAGCGTCCAGCCTACCTTGAACCACTCGATGGTGGGCTCGGGCTTGCCCTCCACCTTGCAGTTGAACGTCGCTGGCTCATTCTTCTTCACCACCAGATCGGTGGGATGTTCGATAATGCGTGGCGACTGATATTGGGCTGAAATTGGGGGGAATCCAAAAGATTTGTGAGCTGGAATTGAGGGAACTGGGCTGGGCTGTGGCTGTCGCCGTCGGGTTTACCTATGGCTGCCGGCGGCGTCACCAGGCCGAGCAGCAGCAGAAGAAGTATCATCCTACTCCCCCTGCTGCCCCACAGGGTTATGCTGGATGATGTTGGATGAGGAGAGTTAGTGCTCGTGCTCCGGGTGATGGCGATGCTGAGACGATGTGGTCGATGCATAGGATATTCGGTGACAGCGACAGTGCGTGGAGAGTACTTATATTGCGTAGTAGATGATGCGAGAGCTGGCGACAACCATTTTAGCTGTGTGTGTAGCCTGCGATATATGCGATGCGGAACGGAAGATAGAGGAGCATGAAATGTGGGCAGCTGTTAGTTTTGGCCGGGCTTCAAAGAGCGCATTGGGGATACACATGGACATGGGGGAATGTTTGGTGGGTGTGCACGAAAGGCAGGCGTGGCGTGGCGTGGCGTCGCGAAACCCCCCAAAGCATTACAAGGGTTTACCTTTCGATTCGATTCGGTTTTTATCTTCCGAAATTATTCTTCGTCTGTGCTCCAATTCCATTCACATTTCCCTCCCGAGATAAGCACTCACTCACTTCACACACAATACACACGCACAACCATTAAAACATATACATATATGTATGTACATATATACTCCTACATATGTCTAGCCAGCTATGCTTTTCCATTAATTTTATTTCTGTATTTATCTCTCTCTTTGTGTTTATCTCTCTTAGGCGGCAGACAGCCAGCGACGGCGTAAATTTACAATCCAAATTCTGATTTCATTTGATTCCGATTCTCACACTTTCTTTATTACGTTTTATCGTTGCTTTTTTTTTTATTTATTTACTGTTTTATTTTTCAGCTTCCATGAATGATATTTATTTGTCGATGGCAAGTCCTCTCTTCCCGTTTTCATTGTCGCTTCATTTTCGGGGTTGTTTCTCACAGCTCGCGCACATTTTCCACATTTCCCGAACCGAACGAATTTCTTTTGGGTAATTTTACAAGAACAAGAACACGCTGCCCGTCCCCCTCTTTCATCTATTACAACTCACCCCCTCCTATCATTGCCTGCTGTTCCCCCTTCAGCGTTCCATCCGTTACATCGCTTGTTGTTGTATCTATAACAGTGTTGTATGTATAGCTCAGTCCTGTCCTCTTGGGCTGTAAAAAAGTCCAACCCATCTGCAATTTACGCCCAAACAACAGACTGTCTTGTTGCAAATATCCTGTCCTAACTGCCTTGATGGATCCCGCCACTAGTGCACTCAACTTACTTTAATTTTTACAATGGACAAGTTCCTAAAAGGTTTCAATGGTTGTTTAATAATTATTTCAGCCCGATACTATCACGATAGTATCGATTGTTTTTTCAATACATTCGACGTTGATATTCCTCGATATTGATATTCCTCGATATTGATATTCCGTTTAATATTACCAGCTAGCTGGGACTCTCAGCCCTAAACAAATAATTTTATCCGATAGATACATAAATTTTTGAAGAGATTGGCAAGTTTTCAGAAGTCCTTTTTATTAGATTATTTACATATTAAGGTTCAAACAAAAACAGCATAAAACGAATTTGTCGTCGTTTTGTGGCGTTGCCAGACTCCTGCAATTCGTAGTAGCTGCGGGCTGCCATACCGTGATATTTTGTGATATGAAATTCGTCAATTTTGATATTCCGTTTAATATTACAAGCTAGCTGGCCCTCTCAGCCGTAAACAAATAATTTTATCCGATTGAGGAATCAATTTTCTACAAGATTGTTTAAATTTAAGGACTTCGCTTCTATTGGATTTCTTAGTTTAAGCAAAATTGCAGCACAATGCGCAATAAAAGCGTCAATTACATTTTGGTGAAAACGAAAACCTTTTCGAATGGAATAAATTAGCTTAGATAATAGAAGCATCAAGTTTCAAGTTATCTTATAACGTAATTAACTCGATAGCGGCAGAGTAACTAGGGTACAAAATGCCAGAAGGCATGGGAACGACTGAAATTGGAACACGAACTGCAGATTTATTCGCTGATCTGGCAGCGCAATTTATTTAAATTGGAATTTATAATTACTGTTGGGCTTTAATTTTGTATTACAGAATTTAGAAGATTACAAACCGCCTTGGGAAAAGCCTCTTAATGTGACGATTTGTGCTTGGATGTGCCCCGAACGTGGTCTTTTCTTTGCTTCTTCCGCTGTCTGTCGTAATCCTGGAGCAATTTTCGCATATAGCCGTTGCAAACGGACATATCCTTCGTAACCTTCGGCAAATTGTTGTTTCTGGCTCGAATTGGACAGAAGCCGCGATCATTTTCCAGCAGTGTTTGGGAGTACTTTCCGGGGGGCACGGCCAGGCCCAACTTCCCATTCCGCTTGAGGACACACACGAGCTTCAGCCAGACCATGTCGCTGTGCCCTCGTAGCGGCGCTTTCGTGCCAAAGCGTTTTGTAATATTCCATAAGCCCTGCATCTCCTTGGGTACTCGAAAGGGTGAAATTAAACTGACGGAAATCTCTACGAAGTTCTCTCAATCCTGGCCAACTCGGGCCGTCCCCTGGCCAGATTCCGGGATCGCACCGCGTTGGAGAAGTTCGCATCGAAGGCGGCCACTCGACCGCGGCTGGGGCGTGATAGTGGTGGAGTGGGAGGGGGCGGACGGCGGCCAGCGGGGTGGGCGCTCTTCACCTGCTTGGGCTGCAGCTGGAGGCGCGTGACGCGATCCACGGACATGCTCTTGGGCCGCCGGGACAGGTAGTCGTGTATGTGGCTGTTGGAGCCATTGCTGATGTTCAGGTTTACGAGGTAATCCTGCAGTTCCGCCTTCAGCTGGCTGTTGGACGCCTCCAGTCGCTTCTTCTGCTGCTTGAGGCAGGCCACATCCACGGCCACATTGTTGACGCGACGCCAGAAGGTGTCCATTTGGGGCACCACTCCGATCTCGTCCTAGGGATCACGGATTAGAGCGGGAATTCGAGCGAATTATAGTTCCTACCTTGAGCAAGTCAGTGTATGCGTCGGATCGGTCCTCCACTGCACGGATCTCGATTATCTCCCGCGACAACTCGGGCAGGAGGAACATCTTCTCGCGCTGCGTTTCCATTTTGGCACAGACCGCCGACAGCTGCAGCAGGGTCTCGCCACTGCCGACGATTCCCTGGAGGGTCTCCAGCGCATTGTAGCTCTCCACGGACATCAGCTTGAAGGTCTGGTGATCGCTGGCCACCTCCTGCTCCACGCACGTGCGCAGCTCCCTGAGCCGGTCGGTCAGCTGCTGCTTGATGGCCTGCCGCTGCTCCAGCTGTGCCTGCTGCTTGGTGTGGAACTCCTCCGAGACGAGACGCAGGTTGGCCAACTGATCGATCAGATGCTCAATGTCGTACGTTTGCTGGCTGATCTGCAGGGCGGCCTCCTCGTCGCGCTGCTTCAGATCCACGTACTCGGAGTAGAAGCCCTCGGTGTGCTGGCAGTAGCCGGCGAGCACCGACTGGTAGTCCTGCCAGAGCTTCTCCAGCTTCGCCTCGCCCCGGCTGGTGATCTGCTCTAGCTGCAGTTGCATCTGAAATGAAATGTGGCACGCAAAACGAAATCATGAGATGGATTGATTGATGAGGTGCATCCATTGTGTGTCAGTCAGGGCATCCATTAGGGTGTCATAGCACTGGGCTATATATAGGGCGGGGCTGCTGTTCAGTTGTGCATTCAGTTCCCGAGATGATCATCTGGCTGATATTTTTCTTTTTCTGCCTCTCCTGCTGCTGCTGCTCTGTGGAGGGCCTCAAGTGCCGATCCCAGGAGGGCCATGGCGAGTTGGAGCTGAAAAGAGTTGTCCGCAGCTGCATGCACCGCACTGGCAACAACAACAACAACAACAACAACAACAATGGTAATGGTAATGGACAGGACGACAACGAGGACAACAGAGGCTATGGGAGGACGGTACACCGGTACGATTATGGCCAGCAGGAGCCGGATGGCAGATCGAACAATGGCTACAGGTGGCAGCGCAGCCTGAGGCAGTCGGAGAGCAGAAACAGCACAGAGGGCGCGGAGGGAGGCCAGTGTGTGGCGCAGTGCTTCTTCGAGGAGATGAATATGGTGGGACACTGGTGTATGGAAGGGTTCAATTTCATCCTGTACAACTCTCCTCCTTAGGCGGATGGCAATGGCATGCCCGATCGGCGCAAAGTCAGCTATATGCTGACCAAGGATATGCGCGATCGGGAGCTGCGCAACTTCTTCATGGACACGGTGCAGCAGTGCTTCCGCTACCTGGAGAACAGCCGCAACAGGAGCAACAAGTGCTCGCAGTCCAGGGACCTGGTCAAGTGCATGTCGGAGTACGCCAAGGCCCAGTGCGACGACTGGGAGGAGTACGGCAGCCTGCTCTTCAATTAGGATGGGGATGCCGATGCCACTTACGCCGCTCTTGAGGTCCTCGCAGCGCTCCAGGAATCGTTCGTGGTTGTCCTTGATCTCCCGGTCGGTGGTCTCCTCCACCTGATAGAACACGCACTCCAGCTCCTGCTGCTTCTGGGCGTGCATTGCCCGGAAGCCAGTCGAGTCCAGCTCCCATTCACCCAGCACCGCCTGCTTGTCCTCCTCGTAGATGTTCCTAAAGAACTCCAGCCGGCTCCGGTGGATGTCTAGATTAGATTTGGTTTGCGAATAATGGGTCAGGGTTTCCCGGACACCAAAAATACACACGAATCTCACCAATGATGCCGCTTATGTTCTCCATGTGGGACTGCTGCAGATTGGCGTACATGTCCTCCGTGGAGCCGAGGTGCGCTATGAGGCGCTGGATCACATTGTCCTTGCGCTTCAGCGCGTCCTTGAAGAAGGCCTCCACGTCGACGATTTCCCTGCGCAGCTCCTGAATCTTAACCTGCCGCAGAATGCTGCGCCACTCCTGATTGATTTTGGCCATGTTCAGCCGCCCGAAGGCATCCTCGCGCTTCAGTTTGCTCTACGGAGGGGGAAAATGACTGTTAGCTGTCCCGGCTATCACCTCAGGCCTGTCTGTCTTCATGTACCTTCATGTACATCGAAATGAGCTGCATTTTGCGGCGTCTCGTCTCCTCCTCCGCGTCGGCCCGCATCTGCAGATAGCGGGCCCGCTCCTCCTCGGACATCTTGGCCAGCTTGTTGCCTTTTCCCTTACCCTTTTTGCCCATCGTAAAGCGTTTTCCTTTCCAAAATGATTGCCCCAATCAGCTTATAGAGTTTCAAAGGCCAATCTCTGACTAATCGGCCGAGCGAAAATTAATAATAAATTGCGTGCCGGCGCGTCGCTATGACAGCGCCCCCAACTCTGACCCCACCCTTCGGCGACTGTCGTCAGGCGACTGCCTGTTGTTGCCATAATAATGGACCCGAAATCAAATTAATGTCGCAGCATTGTGGGGGCGATTAGGGCTGTCCATCAATGGGGAACGGCTCTTTATAAAGCGGCGTTCGAGCCAGCGAGCCGTTTCACAGTTTTGAAAATGTTGCGGGCAACCTTGGTGATCTGCTTGGCTCTGGCCCAACTGCTGGTGGGTAGGGAAAATCCGGAAAAGAGCCACTGATTGATGCCACTCCTTTGCAGGGAAGACTCTCGGCAATTCGCGTGCATTGCCGGCATGTGGAGCGCATCCACGAGGACCACATCCACTACTGCTGCAAGCATCCTGACGGGCACGACGAGGTCACCGAGATGTGTGCCAAGCAGACCAGTTTCCGACTGCCCTCCACCGAGGAGGAGGCCATGGAGGATGTCACCGTCGACCAGGCCATGGTGGGCACCTGCTGGGGCAAGTGCGTCTTCGACCACTACCAGCTGATGGACAGCAACGGCACTCTGGACATGATCGCCGTCCACACCCACTACAAGAAGTACCACAAAACGGATCCCGAGTACGAGACGGAGATGCTGAACGCCTTCCAGAAGTGCCACTCCAAGAGTGAGTCCAAAGTCCCATTCCGCGTAGCAGAAACTCCATAAGCATAATCATCCATGTGGCACATCACTTTCCCTTCCAGATGAGGATGCCACATCGCAGTTCCTGTCGCTGCCCATTGTGCGTGCCTTCGCCACCGGAAAGTTTTGCAAGCCCGCCTCCAGTGTGATCCTCTCGTGCGTCATCTACAACTTCTTCCACAGCTGCCCCAAGAGCCGCTGGTCGAACTCCACCGAGTGCGAGGAGACGCGAGCCTTTGCCAATAAGTGCAAGGATGTCCTCACCACCATGTGAAGCGGGCGGCAGGGAAACTCACACACCCTTGCAGACAGAATGCAGCTAAATTATCATTACAGGCTCATTGAAATAAATTAATGTTGAAAGTGAAAGTGAAGCATTAAAAGAGGATAAATTTGATATGTTAAAGGGCTTCGTTTCCATGCAACCTTATTGCCTTGTAGCCATTTCTAGCTGATGCAACACTGCTCAGACTTTGTTTATGCTGCTTCAGTGGATAATTTGGGATAGAGATAATCTTCTACTCGTTCTTTCATTACTTTCAAACTTAATTCTTAAGGAAAAGCACACAGAAATAAATTTCAAATTCAATAAGATACTTTATTCACATTCTTTATACTCCACTGACTCTTTTAAAGAGTGGCCAAAGAGTCGTGACACTTCTTGCTGAATGCCAGCGTATCCTCGCACTCCTTGGTCTTGGACCAACGATCGGCTGGGCAGTTGTGGAAGAACTGTCTGATCACGCAGGCCAATACCACACTCGACTTGGGCTCACAGAACTGATGGGACATCTGGCGGAAGATGGGCTTCGACAGGAACTTGGAGGTGTTCTCTTCGCCTTGGGTAAAATAAAATGCGGGACATGTGAAGATGAGCATGAGCAGCTAAAAAGCGCATTCGTGGCACTCACTCTTGCCGTGACAGTGGTCAAAGGCGCTGATCATTTCGTTGGCGTACTCCGGATCGTTTTCAAACTTGGAGCTGAAGTATTTTCGCACCGCCTCCATGTCCACCTCGTCGCCTGTCATGAAGTTCAGACTGCCAAAGACACACTTGCCGAAGCAGGTGCCCCGAATGGCCCGATCCGCTGTGATGTCCACCATTGCCTCCTCGTTCTGGCTGGGCAGCTGGAATCCCGTCTCCTTGGCGCACTTCTCGATGACGTCATTGTGTCCGTCGGGATGCTTGCAGCAGTAGTGGATGTGCTCCTCGTTGATGGCCTCCGGGTTTTCGCAGTCAATGCTAATGCCATTGGCGAACTGAAAGGCAAACTTAAGGACTGGCGGAGGAGACTCGGCGATTATCCACTCACCCAGATCAGGCAGGTGAAACTCAACAGAATTATGGGCTTCATTGTGCTGCTTCAACTGAAGTAATCTGCAGATTCTGAATGCTTTTATAGAGGCGCTTTGGTCAGCAGACAGGAAATGGTGACCCATCAGAAAGTCTGGAAATGCGTTTCCCCCCATTGCACTTGGACCGACTTAATGACTCATTTGTTACATTTAATTAAGCAATCCGATAACGCGGCTAATTAAATAACGAAAGTACAGTGGGTCAGCGGATGTTATAAATCGCCAGCTAGCCACCCATGCGATCCCATTTAAAGAACGATGGCTAACCCGACGATTTCCTGCTGGCTGGTTCTCCTCCTGGTGGCCATAGTAGCGGGGCAGGAGCAGGACTCTGAAGAGACCACCAGCATCGCCATCTCCAGCTCCGGCGAGGATTTAACTGAGCAAAAGTGCGGCAAGGAGGTGAGCGAAAAGCAAAGGGAAATCTGCACGGGGAGAGTCATTCACTTAGCATCCTCAAACAGCGTAACGGCTGCTGCGAGGAGCTCTACATCGGCACGGAGGAAGAGCTGGTCAAATGCTTCACCATTCACTCATCGAAGCTGCCACCAGACGGGGACAGCGATGTCGGCAAAACGCTGCGATTTCTCTCGGTTTGTATTTGGCACAGATCTGGGATGGGGAGGCCGAACTGAATCCCTTTTAGTGTTTCGTAGAGTGCCTGTACAAGCAGAAGAAGTACATTGGGAAGAGTGACACGATCAACATGAAGATGGTGAAGCTGGACGCGGAGACGACATACGCGGATCGGCCCAAGGAGAAGGAGTACCACATCAGAATGTTCGAGCATTGCCGCAAAGACGCTGTGGGCATCTACAATCTGCTGAAGGCGAGTCCCGGGGCCAAGGCGCTGCTCAAGAATGCCTGTCGGCCCTACCTCCTGATGGTGTTCCTCTGCCAGAGCGACTACCACCAGAAGCACGAGTGTCCCTACTTCCGCTGGGAGGGCACCGAAAAGGCAGGCACCAAGGACACCTGCGAAGACGCCAGGGACAAGTGCTATCTCATCGATGGCATAGCACCACCAACGAAAAGCCCACTCTGAGAATTGTATTTCAGCTGTACGAGTAATGTAATGTAATCTTTTTTGTGAATAAACGTAGCGACTTTTCCGTCACAGCAGCCCACACCGCTCTACATACTCATACTCGTATTGATAGCGCTCACTCTGCCGAAATGGCGGTTTATATGGTGCGCACTGCGGACATGGATGACTTGGATGCAATCAACACACTCATCCACTCGCCCACCGTCAAGTGGTTCGGCAACATTCGCCCCAAATATGCGGAAAAGTTCAAGCTCTTCAAGTGCTATCAGACCTACCGCCTGGTGGTGATCGACAGGCAGACATCCGCGCTCCTGGCATATGCGGAGTTTCGCAACTATCCGTCGATCGATGCCCTGCCCAGCGACTGCTGGCCCGAGTGGCTGTCCGTCAGATATTGGTAAATCCTCGGATGCAGCCCCCCACCAATTGACACACCCAAATACTCCCCCGAATCCCCTGCAGCCTCACGATGCCGCTTAGCTTTCTGAACACAATGTTTTTCAACTTTTGTGTCTATAAGATCGACAATGCCGACGCCATGGAGAGCATTCTGAGGGACATTTTCTACAGGGAGAATCGCATTTGGTATCTCATCACAGTCAAGAGTCCCACGATACCGCAGCCCACCTACTATGCGGAGACGTTCGAGGATCTGGAGAAGTATGCCGACGTCTTCTATCCGCGCGAGTTCTCCATCGAGAACAACTTCAACACGCAGGCCCTCTACGTCATCTTTCGCTTCAAGCTGCTGCCCAAGATCACCTACCGAAAGGCCCTGTAAGTGCTGCCTGCCAGCAGGCCATTGACTCCATCCTAATCAGTTCCTAATGGTGTCGCAGGCCCGAGGACAATGATGACATTGTGGCCATACACGAGTACGAATATCCGGAGATGCGCGAGCAGCTGGGCGACTTCTACATAGCCGAGGAGATCCTGCGCACGGACAGTGCGCGCGAGAAGAGTTTCCTGATCGTGGCGGAGACCGAGAACGAGTGCCAGCAGACCGAAACGGCAGTGTTCCTCTGGCTGTCGACGGACATCGACATCCTCTTCTATGTGACGAACTACGAGCTGGAATCGTTTGGCAATCTGGTCAAAACCGTCGAGGGTCAGTCGATCCATGTGGAGACGATAAACGTGTCGTAAGTTCTCGCCCTAAAAAAAAGATACGAGAGGTGAGATACCCCTTATTGCTAAACCGCCGACAGGTCTGTGCAGCCCAAGAACGTCGCCTGCCTGTTCACGTCCGATGCCCTGGACGATCTGGATGCCATGACCATTCTGGGCGGCCTGCAGAGGAACGACAGCGGCATGAGGTGGGCAAATTATTGACCTAGTCCTGTCAGCACCTAGTCCTAATGGCTTATCCCGCCGCAGCGTCTACAGTGCTGGAAAGGCGAAAGTCAGCTCCATACAAGGGATCATTATTGAGGCGCGTGTCACGACCGGCACGAACAAGTTCTTTATGCGGGAGAGCCTCTACTCGAAACTGAAGTACATCATTGGAAGTACGTGACTAAGCGGAACACATTTCTCGCTCCTACATTCCCCTCCCTTCCCTTCCCTTCTTGCAGAGCTTGAGAACAGCGAGTACTACATTAGCAAAGAGCTCAAATCCATTAATGTCCTGTACTCTGCCGGAGTGCACCCGCGGGGCAGTCCGCTGGGCCTGGATGCGGCATCGAATGTGTTCGTCCTGAAGTACATTGGGGCGCGAAAGGACTTTCCGCTGGAGCGCCTGTACAACAGCGTGGTGGCCATGTTCTGTGCCTTTCCCGACCGCGACTACTGCATGATGCTGATCTCGAAGGAAACCAAGTCCATACGCAGCCACGTGGAGGTGCTCAAATACTTTATGGTTGGTTCTGAATACTCGTACTTTGATTTCTATATTTTCGATTTGTATTTTGATTTTGATTTTGTGCTGCAGCCAGTGGCATCTCGTCCCAGTGAGGTGGCCAATCCGGAGGAGGTCTACATCACCCATCGCAGCACAATATTCGGAGAGATAAGGTGAGCTAAGGGCCATGGTGCATGGGTCTGTTGCTGCCAGTCTACAGCTTTCTGGCCCACAGCTTGTATGAACTGCAGAAGGACGACGTGGCTGTGGTGCGGGCCCTGGCCATCGGCACCAGTGCGTCGGCGAATGACGACAACTCCAGCAGCTCCCACGCCAGCAGCTTCTCGTACACCTCCAAGATCAATGAGGCCGCCGATCTGGAGCACGAAATCGAAGTGATCAACGCCATCATGAAGGACGTCCTGGAGAACGAGCTGACCGAATTCGCCGTCTACACCATTCGCTGCGGCAACTCGGCGAAGGCGGCCAGCGAGAACACCGCCATTGGATTCGTGGTGCTGCGCGAGTTCCGGAACCACCATCAGCTCCATCGCCACTACCATCTGCCCAGGCACCAGACCCATCTGAACTCGATGCGGGCCGAGATCATTTCCATGCGGCTGCACCCCCTCTTTCTGATCAGCAGCGATCTGATCTTCCGGGACCTGAGCATGAAGACGCGCTACCAGGACTATTACTTCATTTCCTCCGCAAATGTGGGTACCCAGCCACACAACCACAAGATGCTGCCAGAGAGTCCCTGACTACTGTAGAGCTTTCCCCGCAGGGTCCCCAGTTCACGAATGATCTGAAGAAGATGATGACAGTCGTCGAGCCGAACCCCATGAAGAAGAGTCCGATCACATTCAGAGTTCCCGGCGAAGGGTACTCTTCCAGGGAGAAGGTGCATCTGCCGGAGCGTAATTTCTACCAGGATCACCTGATCATCTACCGCCACAAGCTGAACCCCACCAAGTGGTTTGGCAACAGCGAGCGGCTCGTCGTTGTGGGTTTCACCGATGTGACCAAGGCGTTCCTCCGACAGCTGGTCTTCCAGTGGAACAGCAGAGAGTGAGTGCCATCGTGAGATGAGCCCACTATCCTTTATCCATCCTCCTCCTCGCAGTCACAAGAATTCGGAGACGTACACCTGTTTGCCCCGCGTCCAGGTGACGGTGATTACGCTGCCTGGTGTCGTGGAGGCCGAGTACGACGGCATGTTCCAGTGTCCATACTGCGGCAACTCTCCCACCTGCTACTTGTGCTTCCAGAACGTCTCGTGCTATGTGCGGGATGTGATTTGCCGCATGGATCTGCGCCACTGGGTGCACTTTGTGCCGGGCAAGGTCGATTTTGTGGACAGGTATCCGTTCCACCCCGTGCTACCCACCCTCCGTCTCTGTGTCTCACGTTTCTCTTGGGTCCCTTGCAGGGAGAAGAAGTTCGTGAAGCTGGAGGACAGCTGCGAGATCTACTACGACACCCTGCTGCTGGCGTGCTATAAGGACTTTGCATTGCGGAACCCCGTTCGGCGGCCAACAACGCCCAAGAATCCGCCGTGCAACTTCGTGGAGATCAACTCGCGGCTCAAGAAGTTTCTGCTGTTCTACAAGGTGCGGGCGATGCTCGAGGAGATGCCCCGCACGTACCTGGTGCTCGTCTACGGGTCCAATCTGCAGACCTACGAGTGCATCGCCTTTCTGATCACCCACGGCGTGGATACTTCCCGCATCGTGCTGGTCCAGCCGCGTCGCATCTCCGGCGTGGAGGCGGAGGAGAAGCTGAAGAATCCCTACTGGGACAAGAACCTTCAGTACATCCTGGATGACATCCTCACCGATGCCGGCATAAAGATTGTCGAGAATCACGACTTTGTGGACTGGGTGGAGGCCGATTCGTCGCCGTTCATCATGGAAGTGATCTTCGAGCACTTCCCCAGCAAAAAACGCACCTCCTTCGACTGCGACCTCTTCATATCCTTCGACGAGGGCCACATGGAGCCCAGTACCAAGAAGTGTAAGTGTAACTGCACCCCAACGCCAACGCCAACGACATTTCACCATCCCATCCCATCCCATCCAATCGCTTCTTCCTGCTTTCTGCTCAGGGCTGAAGGGATGCGGCATTCAGATGCGCAAGGACGAGATTTTAGTGGACGAAGACTTCACGACCAACGACGAGAACATCTACGCGATTGGCAAGTTCATCCGAATGAACGGCGCCCCCAACTACCAGTACAAGTACACCAGCGAGCGGGAGCTGGGCCGCAAGGTGCGAGAGAGTAATCCAACGGAACTAGAGCGTCCCTGACCCCATTGACTCGCTTCCTTTCAGCTGATGCACATCCTGGAGCTGTCGTCCAGGCAGGAGAACTTCGAGTACAAGTACTCGGAGCCGCTGTTCTTCCAGGCCCTGCTGCCACTCAACTACATCATCACAAAGGTGACCATGCCCCGTCGCTACCTCGCCTCCCAGCTCGCCCCGGAGTACACCTGCAACCTGACCACCTACAAGAACAACACCTTCTGCCGGGTGGCCCTGGCCCCCAACATGCTGGTGGACGAGATTGTGGTGGTGACCAAGAAAGTGGCCCGCTTGGATTACCTGGAGCACTTCTGCGGCAGGCACGAGCTGCTGCTCAACAATCTGAAGGCTCGCTACAGCGCCAAGACCATCGGCTGCTTCCTGGCGTTCTTCCAGGAGCCCTGGACGGAGCTGATCATGCACGAGAACTTCCAGGTCTTGCAGGAGCAAAACCGTGAGCTGCTCCGGCCAATCGCCCTCTCCAACCTAAATGTGAGTATTCCGACAGCCGTCGGCATCTTCGCCTCTGCCTCACCTGTAGACCTCCCATGGCCTTGCAGAAAGCCACCCGCAACCCCTTCATGGAGGTGGCCGTGCAGGACTTTATATCGCTGAACAAGCGCTACTTGGAGCAGAAGCTTCTCAATTTCCTGAGAGAGCACCGCAGGGACTTCCGGTATCCGTTTGCCCTGCCCGAGGACTTCATGAGCTCCGGCATGACGGTGTGGGACAGCGAGACCGAGACGGAGACGGAGACAGAGGTCGAGGAAGTGACGAAAAATATGTAGCTCCCAGTAGTCTGTTGCCATGTCGTGTGAATTGTGATGTGTGAACCATATCAAATATATATTTTGTGTGTTGTCTGAACCTGAATCATAGAATGGCTAAGGCACCGAGCTATGTGATTCGGATGGCTGGGGTCCAGGACCTGCCCCGAATAGAGACCCTATACAACACTTCCGGTACCCACCACTTTGGCGAGAAGAGGCGGCCTCCGCTCATGCAACTGTTCAGCGAACACCAAGCCTATCGGCTGATTGTCTACGATCCGAATCACTTCACCACCCTTCTGGCGTATGGAGAGTTCAACATTCACCCCAACATACCCGTGCTGGCCAACGACCTTTGGCTGCACTGGCTGAATGCGCGCTTCTGGTAGGTGCCCGCATCCGGTAGCCGCGCATCCGCAGGGCGAACTCTTCTCTGATGGCCATCTCTCTGCAGCTTGGACCTGCCCCTCAGTCTGCTCAACACGATCTTCTTCAACTTTTTCATCTGTCAGAATGAGCATCCCACCATTCTGAAGGACATCGTCACGGAGATATTCTACAACGAGCACAAAGTCAACTTCCTGATCGTCACCAGGCCAGCAAGGTCGATCAAAAAGATCGATCCCTATGAGTCCATCCAGGAGTACGGCCAGACATTTTACCCCAAGTATTCCACGCTATCGGAGCAGAGGGGCCTTCCCTCGGTCATTATAATCAATCGCAGAGACGTCATGCCAACCATCTCCTTTCGCAAGGCACTGTGAGTGGGTCCTGTGAGAGAGGAAATTACTGTCCCATTTACCTGCCCACAGTCCCGAGGACAACGACGACATTGTGGAGGTGATAGACCACGAGGAGCCGCATCTACGGCAGCAAAATGGAGACTTCTACATAGCCGAGGAGCTGCTCGACTCCGAAAGAACCGGCCAGAACGAGCTGATCATCGTGGCCGAGGTTAGTTTGTGGATGCACACCCAAACATATTCTGTAATGAAATCCCCAATTAGTTGGCCGAAGAGATCGCTGGCCTGATGTGGCTAACGGACAAGTTGGATGTGGAGCTGCTGGCCAAAAATTTTCATCTCGAACGTCTGGGCAACCTCACGCGATGCACGCCTGGAGCCAAACATGGCCGCGTGTCCTTCGAAGTCATGTGAGTGGGTTCAGCTGCAGTTCCTTGCATTCCTGCATGCTTGAGGTCTGAACTTTCAGCTCGGCGCACACAAAGCCGTACAAAGATCTGTACACGGAGTCTGCACTGGCCAGCAAACCAATCAAATTACAGGGCAGCGCCACGACCGTGTCCAGCATAGTCCCGTATAGAGCCTCGATTAGTTCGACGAATGATGACTTCAAGCTGCGGCACAGCAGACTGATCTCCTCCCAGTTTGGGTGCATCTACGATGGTGGACTCCACTCCATTTACATTTCCATCCCGACAGTGACCAAATCGATTTTAAATATTTTCAGAACTGCGCCATGGCCATCATTATGTGAACGCAAAGCGGGAGATGCTGGAGATTTCCTTTGATCTGCCCAGCGACCTTTCAGATGAGGGATATGCATTCGAGTACTTGAAGAGGGCCTCCAGCGCCTTCCTGCTGAAGATGTTCAATCTGAATCCCAGGGTGAGGATGGAGTACACATTTTTCTTTCTTTCGGCCATGTTCGGCGCCTTTCCGGAGCTCGATTACTGCCTGATCAGGGTGCCACCAACAGTGACGCTGTCCAAGAGTCAGCGAGAGTTGATTCGGTTCTTCTTGGTGAGTACCAGTACCAGAGAAGTCCCATAACCTACGAGCTCGAGTACCCTTTGCTTTTATCCAGCGCACTGCTCATCGTCCCGATAGCTCTGTGTCGGACAGTCTATACGTGGCCCATCGCTGCACTCTGTTCGGGGACCTCCACATATTTCCCCTGAGGGAGAGCGAGCTCGATGAGATTACAGCCATGCTGCGGCTGCCGCCCTGCACCAAGGAGAGTGAACAACCCGATGGGGATGCGGAGAGTGCGGTCAGTTGGTCAGTGTCCGACATGATCTCAACGGAGGTGTGCCAAATCATTGACCAAATCTTCTCGGACGTTTTCCACAACGCCGAAACCGAATTCACCTGCTACACCATACACTGCGGCAACACCCAGTCGCGCACCATTGTGGGTTTCATTGTGCTGCGGTAAGTGGAAGTTTAAAGTGGGCTTTGGGCTTAAAAGTCTCTCCTCCCTCGCATCCTCCAGGCCCTTTACGGACTATGACGCTCTCAGCAGGAAATTCCTCCTGCCCCGAGATGAGTTCCATCTGACCCACAGGCGCGGCGAGATCGTCATGTTCAAGCTGCATCCCCTGTTCCAGATCTGGTGTGACCCGATCGTTCGCTCTGTGGCCATGCAGGATAATTATCGCGAATTGTATTACTTCCACCAATTTATGGTGGGTTGACCTGCGCATATGCCAGTCCAGGGTCGATCTCTAGTTGTGGTTTTTGCCCTTTTTTAGGGCGTTTCGCTGCCCAACGATCTCGTGTACAACATGATGCCTGTGGAGCCGCGTCGAGTGACGAGGAATTGGTTTCCGCAAAACGACAAGGATGGGCTCAAGCGGCAGATCGACACGGTTGATTTCCCCAAAATTAACTTCTTCAGCGATCATCTGCACGTCGTCTGCCACAATCTGTTGCCCAGCAAGCACATGGGCATTCCCAGTCCGCTGGTCATTGTTGGCTTCTCCGACATATGTCGGGCCTTCCTGCGCCACATTATCTTCGGCTGGAACACGAAGGAGTAAGTGCCGCTTACTGCCTGTGGGGCCATGCAAAGCAAATTGTAGTCTCTTTGCAGCTTTGCCAATTTCAAGAGATACAACTGCCTGCCGTTGCTGGACATCACTGTGATAGTGCCACATGGCGTGGTGGAGGCGGCCTATGACTCTGACTTCAGCTGCAGCTATTGCCAGGGCAGCAAGCAGTGCTATGTGAGCATCGGCTCGAGCAATCCCTTTGTGAAGGATGCCACGCACCGGATGGATCTGCGGCACTGGGTGCAGTTTGTTCCCGGCAACCTGGAGTCCATCGATCGGTGAGTAGATTCTGATTCTGATGCTGATGCTGATCGGCCTTCGATAATTTGCAGGACTGAGAAGGTGATCCGCCTGTCGGACAGCTGCAACATTCACTACGAAAATCTACTCCTGCTGAATGACATTAGGTACGGGCTGAAGGACGAGGACAGCACTGCCCCGATGCCGTACAACTATGCAGCCATCAACTACCGCCTCGACAAAATCATCCTCTACCACAAGCTGCAGAACATAATCGAGCGCGACATCCTGTGCACTCCGATCATCGTCTATGGCTACGGCATGCCCGTGTACGAGTGCATCAACTTTCTGGTTACCCATGGCTGCCAGCCGGATCACATCACGTACGTGCAGCCGCACATACCGCAGATGTTCGAGCAAATCCTCTACTCCAGAGAGGACGCTGGACTGGATGCGATTCTCGTAGAGATGGTGGCCGATCTGGGCGTAGAAATTTACTTGTCCGCCAACTTCAGCAGACTCATCTTCTTTCCCCAACAAGGCTACCATCGAGAGCGTAGAGTTCCAGCTGATACCCAGTCGGAATCGAATCATTTTGAACTGCGACATCTTCATCAACTTCGAGGAGAGTTTCATGTGCTCAGGATTCGAGAGAAGTACATCGTTCGTATCGATAGTTATCCGCTCTATTACTATTCCTTTTCCCATTCCCTTACAGTACTTCTTGACTCTGGAATTGAGCTCGCCAACAAAAAGATCATTGTCAATGAGGAGTACTGCACCAATGACCCCAATATCTATGCCATTGGCCAATACATCGCCATGTTGCCCAGTCCCAACTATCAGTACACCCACACCAATCCCCAGGAGTGTGCCGAGAAGGTAAGCTGAGTGCTGAGTGCTTTGTGCTTTGTGCTTGCTGTATACTGGTATACCAAGTGTCGTCTCCCCTAGCTGGCGTTCATCCTAAACATGCAGGGTGGATCGACTCAGCAGCGGTTCTCGAAGGTGAACATGTACACGGGACGGCTGCCCATGGACTACCAGATGGTGAAGATAGTCTCACCCCAGCCACTGCTCATGGGTCAGCTGTCGAGTGAGTTCATGGAGAGCATGACGACCTACCACGATGGCGACTTCTGTCGCATTCGACTGAATCCCAAGATGTTTGTCATGGAGATTGTGTGCGTCACAAAAAAGGTTGTACATAGCCCCCTTCTGGCCCACTGTGGGATGACTTAATCTTTGTGGCTGCTCCTTTAGAAAAAAAGCCTGTTGTTTCTCGAATACTTTTGCGGGCGGCACGTGGCTCTGCTGAACAACATGAGGAATCGGTGGCAGAGCGGCTGGATAGAAAATTTCCTCGACTACTTCGAACAGCCCTGGACAGAACTCTTGATGCACGAACGATTTCAGGATCTGCAGCTGAAGAACCGCCGGACTCTGCTGGCCATACTGATGATGGACACCACGACTAATTTGTACAAGCCAGAGAACAGGGCAAGTTTGGAAGAGGCCCAGCGAAAGAAGCTGGAGGAGAACCTGATCGACTTCGTGCGAACATATCGCAAGGAGTTCGTCAATGAGTTTGCTCTGCCCGAGGAGTGGGCTAGGGGTACAGTGTAACACTTCTGTGGTTTCTTAGTTCGTTTGTTTAATATATTTTGCGTACTTTAATCGGATCATCCACTGGAATTAGATGGACAATTCACACAGAGAGAGACAGTTACTGTATTGCATACAACGCTACATATCTAAGCCAATATAGTTGCGGTTTTTACATTGTACATACAACACACTAACACTAGTCGTATAAATGTAGAAGGGCAACGGACAAAGGGCTTATCCTTCCCTTGGGATTATCCTAGATACGTTTGTTAATCGTTGTCAAGTTTAATATAACATCCATCCATCCATCCATCTCTGTGGGTTAGCTAGCTTATTCGAATATACTACAAGGGGAGGGAGTCTACAGGGGAGTGCAGGTCGAGGCCCGGCGTCGTGGCTGGTTGCGTAGAGGGGGCAGGGGACTGAGGCCACTGGGGAAGACGATGACGTGATGATTGAGCCGGCCTCATATGCCCTGCAAGAACCTTCGTAACTCCTCCTCAGTGTCGAAGATCATGACGGGGAAGGGCGATCCCGGCACGAACTCGCCCGCCCACTTCACCTCGACACGATAGTCGCCAGGCTCGGTTGGATCGTACTGGAAATAGTTTAGATATATGTTAGCATTGCTAAAGGCTTATGGACTGGGAAGAGGGGAATCTTACCTTGCACAGGATGGTGCGATCCTTTTGGCTCTCGCGCTGCATTTCCACGCGGAAGGCGCCCTTGGGTCCACGGACGCGAACAGTCAGCTGTCCTGCCCCAGCGCCGCGTGTGTCGCAGATGAAACGGGACTGGAATGTAGCGAGCACGCCGTGCTCTATGCCCGGGCCATACACGCGAACCTATGGAGGAGGAGAGCCATGAGTATATATGCATTATGAATGTGACTTTCCCTGCTGCGCACCTTGCTGGCATCCGGTGCTCCGGCCACCTTCAAGGCAAAGGGAGAGCCGGGCACATTCTGGCCGCCATACTTGATGGTCAGCAGATGACGACCCGGCTCTTGGGGCTTTATGTTCAAGGTGAATGTGGCATCGCCGTGGTCGTAGAGCTCGCAGTAGGCTACTTTACGGACACCGGCACAGTGGGCGGTGAGTTCGCCAGGACCCGCTCGCCTGGTGTCGATCCACGACTTGATGTCCTTGCCGACAATGCCGTGGCGCAGCCCCTCGCCGGAGGCAATCACCTTGGAGGCATCCATGGAGGAGCCCACGGCCACTGTGAGCGGACAGCCCTTGACCAGTCGTCCGTTCCACTTGACGGACAGTGTGAGGGTGCCCGTGGTCGACTTCTGCGGCGTGTACGAGGCCAGCCATATGTTCTCGCTGGGACGGGGCTGTGCCAGGCTGACGGGCAGCGATGTGTTCTCCTGGCTGGTGCAGAGGACCACCTCTGGCCTGCCAGCCGGCGCATTCGAAGCATCGATGGTGAAGTGGGCCGCCTCGCCCGCCTGTGCGGCGGCCAGACCTCGGCCCATCAGCTGAACCTTGTCCGCCGCTTGTTGTCCTGTGACAAAGGCGCTTCTCGGGCATTGGGTGATGGTCAGTCCGCTCCAAGTGAGGTCCAGATCGTGCTCCCCCGCAGCCAGATTCTCGCCGGTGATGTTGAGGCACATCTTGCCGTCGGACATCTTGTCCACGGGTATCTCGATGCCGTCAATGCTGCACACCAACTTGCCAGGTCCCGCATTCTCCACCTCGAAGATGATGCGGGCGGGCAGAATCAACCGCCCGTCGTGGTCAACCAGCGTGCCCCATCCGCCCACGGGCGTGACCTTGTTGGACTCCACGCAGCAGATGTGCCAGGGCGAGCCGGGCAGGCTGCCTCGATTCGGGCAGCTGGCGCGGATCTCGTATTTGCCGACCGACAGGATCACGTAGGAGATGCGCCACTCGTTGTTGCCCAGGGCCTTGATCTTGGGCTCAATGCGCTCTCCGTACTCGTCCAGCCGTTCGATCTGCACATTCGGAGCAATGGGACAGTAGACCACAAAGGAGGCCTCCTTGTTCCGATGGCACACCTCCAGGCCATGGCCAGCGGCTCGGGCATCGTTCCTCACTCCACTGGCCGAGGCGGTGAAGTTCAGCGGCGAGCTGGGAATCGTCTCGCCGCCGTACATCAGCGTCAGCTTGTAGTTGCCCGGCTGGGAGGGCACAAACTCCACGTTGTAGAGGCCCTCCGACTGCTCGTTGATGAGCACGGGCAGGCTCTGGTTGCTGGGCGAGATGGCGAACGCCTCCAGCTCGGCTGTGCCGGCATTGTCCGTGCGCACGGTGAAGCTGTTGGGGCTGTGCAGGGCCAGCGACTCCTTGGTGACGCCTTGGACGCTGACCTTGCTGCTGTCGAAGGACTCGCAGGTGAAGGGACTGCCTGGCAGCGGCTTCGATTGGTGCAGAACCTCTGCGAAGCAGGAGATGCGTTAGGGAACGAAATTTCATTGGGTTATTCGAGGCACTCACCTATTATGCATTGGCCCGGCTTGTTGATGCTGAACTCCGCCTGCAGATGTCCGTTCTTGGTCTGGTAGCAGCGGACGGGTAGGGCCTGGCCTCCTGGCCCCGACACCACCACATCGAACTCCCTCGCCGGCCTCTTCACGGTATCAATGGCAAAGGACGTGGTCTTGCCCACTCTCGCCTGGTAGAGACCCAAGCCACTGACGCTGATCTCCTTGCCGGCACTGGCTGGCAGCACGTTGATCTCCAGGGGCTTCAGCGAGATGGGCACGTCGTTGAAGAGGATGCTGATCTTGTGGGGAGCCACGCGGGTCGGCTGGTAGACGATCTCATAGACGCCGGCCTTGTTGGGTCCGCGGATGGTGTGTGGCACTTCGGTCGCTCCGCAACGGACGAGGGCGGAGAGGTCCCCTTGGCCCGCCTCGTTCAGGGAGACGCCAATGCTGGCCGGGCGATGGCAGAACGCCTCACCCACCTCTGTGATCTTCACGAGCATTGGGTCGAAGGCGCAGAGGGTGCGCGATCCGATGTGCTGGCGCGTCTCCCGATCGATGAAGCGCAGCGTGTAGTTCCCAGTCACATGGGTGCGGAACTCTGCCGTCTGCCGATTGATGGTGTACGGCACGGACTTCTGGTCGGGGGAGATGATCTCCACGATCTGATCGTCGGCGGGGAAGTCAATGGCCGCCAGGCTGCCGATCTGTATGTGCTGCGTGTGCTGCTGGATGTCCACGCGGAAGGGGCTGCCATCGACGGCCACCTCGTTGAAGGTGATGTTCACGTAGTGCGGCTCAGTGCTCTGCGGCACAAAGGTCACGTCGTACAGGCCCCGGGCGCAGGCCACCACCTCGGCCTTGACTGTGCTGCTGTCGGTGGATACCACCAGCTCCAAGGTGCCCTCGCCAGCACCGGCTGCGTCCACGCTGAACGTCACTGGAACGCCCAGTGTGGCCGGACCGTACTGCTGCTCCAGGCCGCTAATGCTGACGCGCGACACGTCGAAGACATTGCAGCTGAAGGGCGATCCGTTGATGTGCTGGTCGTTCGCGGTCACGCTGATCAGGTGGCGACCCACAGTGCTGGGCCGGAAGGAGGCCGAGTAGCTGCCGCCGTCGTGCTGGCTCATCTGGCAGTGCTCGTTGTCGCCCGACGGCGATGTGACGAAGATCTGCGGCTCCACACCCTCGAAACCCTCCAGCTCGAAGGTGTTGTCCATCTTGACGGCCGCCTGCTTGAGGCACTCGCCCATGGCCATGGCGCGGGGCAGTCCCATGGATGGCGAAGCGGCCGCTGCAGCAATGTGGCAGCTGAACGGTGATCCCGGCACGGGGTGTCCATTGAAGCGCACCGAGAGCGAGTGGGCAGCCGCCTCCGTTGGCTTGAAGTTCACCTTGAAGCGGGCGTTGCCCTCGGACTGGACAAAGTTGGGCACATTCTTGCCATTGACGGCCACAATGATCTCCAGATTGCCAGCTCCCGCCTGGGAGGCGTTGATGCCAAAGCTGACGCTCTTGTTGACCACACCGGCTCGGATGTCTGTGACAATGACCTTTTCCGCGGAGTAGGCCTTCAGCAGGAAAGGACTTCCTTCGACATGGCCGCCGCCGGGCAGGCGCACCTCCACCGAATGATCGCCCACCTCCATGGGCTCGAACTTCACATTGTAGCCCAGGGCAGAGGAGCCCAGGGGGTCGATCTTCACTGGAACACTGCGTCGGGCGGGTCCCAGCACTTCCACGGTGGGCTTGGTGTCCGATTCCACCACAAACTCGAACAGCCTGCCCACGCTCACCTTGTCCATGGTCTCCGGGGACTGGATGCGAGCTGCGGCCGCCACGCGACAGGTGAACGGAGACCCAGGCACATCCTGGCTGTTGAAGCGCAGCTCCACGGTGTGGCTCTCGGCCTCGCGGGGCGTGAAGCTAATGGCGTACGTGTGCTGGCCCTGGGCCTGAGCCGAGGTCGGCACACGGCCGCCGTTCACAGTCACCTCCAGATTTCCGGGACCCGCCTGGGAGGTCTCCACCAGGAACGTGACGGCCTTGCCTACCGTCCCACTGCTCACATTCTTCACCTTGATGGCGCTGACATCGTAGACCTGCAGTAAATAAACCTTTGAGTACTTCATTCCAATTCCAGGCTCTGGTGGATCTGGTGAACGTACCTTTGCCGCATAGGGACTTCCGGCGGTGGCCAGTCCATTGACCGTGACATTGACGCGATGCTCGCCCACGACGCGGGGCACAAACTCGGCCTTGAAGACGCCCTCAGCGGACTGATGCACTTGGGCAGGCACCGACTGGCCAGCAGGTCCTGATTTGCATTATTTATTTTTTTGTTTTTGGTTTCATTTTGTATTCATTTTTATTTTTAGTATTGATTAATGATTAAATCGATTTTGATTTTGATTTTCAATTTTCGATTTTCGATTTGCAACGCGGCCGGAAACGAGTTTTGAGATTGATTTCGTTTGTTTGGTTTGTTTCAGTAATTTCAGTAATTGGGCAACGATTTGGTTTGGTTTAGTTTGGATTGGATTGGTCGAATGTGTGTGTGGGTTTTGGTTAGTGTTTGTTTGGATTTGTCAAGCGAAAAATTTGGAATTTGGAAAAATGTTCACTCGATTAGTAATGGCATTTAATTGGAAAACTTTCAAATGTCTGGAAAAGTGTGGGGTCTGCTTTTGGGTTAGTTTTCGATTTCCTTGAGTCATTTACTGGGAGTGGCGTGGCGTGGAGTGGAGTGGAGTGCAGTTAGTCGTATAAAGAGTGTGCCGGAAAGGGTTAGTAGACCGATAGATGGCATGGATCAGAGACACTATACAGTAGGGTCGATCTGTACACGGTGTA